AGCTAGTGCAGAATGCCGCAGCCAGGCTTCTGATGGGTGTTCCCAGATGGGAACACATCCAGCCTGTGCTGAAGGCGCTGCACTGGCTGCCAATAGCATACCAACTTCTAGGTGCTGGTGCTTACCTTTAAAGCCCTATATGGCCAGGGTCCAACATACCTGAGGGACCGCCTTTCCCCATATATACCCCAGAGTGCACTGAGGTCAGGGTCCCAGAACTGACTGGCCCTGCTGGGCCCCAAGGATGCCAGGCTTGCCACCACCAGGGCCAGGGCTTTTTCACTGGCAGCTCCATACTGGTGGAATGAGCTTCCAGAGGAGATCAGGGCCCTGCAGGATCTTGTGCAGTTCCACAGGGCCTGCAAGGCAGAGCTCTTCCACCAGGCTTTTAACTAGGAGCCGCCCCCACTACCACCAACAAGCCGGCCCGTAGTTTCAATATCTGGCCTTTACCACTGCGCTCAAGAAGACCACTGAGTTGCAAACTGTCTGGCGGTGTGGTATTTTCAGCATGCCATCTTATGTACCGAATGTTTCAGCACTAGGACTTTATGAGACTCTTGTTTTATTGTAATTGAATTTTAAACTGTTTTTATGTGAGTGAATGGTCATTTACAGACCAATTATGTAAGGCGCCCTGAGCCACTTGCGGGGAGGGCGGGGTATAAATTAAATAAATAAATAATAAACTTACTCAACAGTGTGTCCTATCCAACTATTGTTTCAGAACAACTTTGGAAATCTTCCCCCTATGGTGTTTTGGGGTTTTTTTTGTATGCACTATGCAGGGACTGGTCTTGCAAGTTTGTCATCTCTCTGTTGCAGAGGAAATTTTGAAAAGTTGCCTGGACATAAATGCTGCTCCTACAGTATACTACCTTGTGTTTGTCCTATCCAGAGGGGATAAGAAGGCCAATGCTCAAGACAAAGTCTGAGTCAAGTGGCATCTTTGAGACCAACAAAGTCTTATTCAAAGTGTAAGCTTTTGTGTGCAAGACACACTTCTTCAGACAAAAACTGGAATATAATATCAAAAGATGTTGAGATTTTATTCCAGTTTTGTCTGAAGACGTATGTTTTGTACACAAAGGTTTACACTTTGAATAAGACTTTTGTCGGTCTCAAAGGTGCCGCTTGACTCAGACTTTGTTCTGCTGCTTCTGACCAACACGGCTGCCCACCAGAATCAATGCTCAAGATGTCAGACAGGACAGAAAGCTCCTGGTGGTTAAAACATCCTGAAGAAAGCAGCGGTCACCAGCTTGATTAGCTAATGGAAAAACAGCACTACATTTGAGTAACAGACAGACTTCTTTTGTGGCTCACTCAGGCCTTGCTCCAGTGCCAATACAAGGGCTATTCTTGAGATATACTTACATAATCTGATTCTGGCTCAGATGGAGGGATGTACGGCTCTGGAGTCTGCGCTCTAGCAAACTGACCCGTCCGTTCACCTTCAGGGTAAAGTGCCGAGGATGAACTCAGCACTTTCTTGATATGGGTGGCAGAAACATTTTTACAAATTTGTTTGAAGATCTTTTCCTCAAGAGCTGAGGGGATTGCAAGAACAGTACGGTCAGATGGAAATGCAGCAAGGTGCAGAATAAAGTGCTGTAGTTTAGAGCAACCTGTTAACGGAGAGAGGCCCATTTGTTTAAGCCCAGCTTCTAATCACATATAAAACAAAGATAGCCAAAGAGTGGGCGTGTGGATGGTGCTGAACCCTTCCTGCCCCTGCAGTCCATCCAACATCCTGCTCAAGTGTTTTTCTCCCAGCTAAGCCCACAGTATCAGTGTATGACTGAGAAGGAAAGGATGAGGGGGAGGGAGAACCAACGGAGAACTAAGCCCCAACTAGGAAGAAAATTCAGCTTCCTCTTGTTTGACCCCAATTCTAAAAATCGGACCCCGACCCCCTACTTTATGTAGGCAGATCTGAATTTACCTGTCTCCTACCTTCACATCTCATTTGGCCTTTAAAAAAACCCTTTTGACACATATATACAAAGCAACAGAACAGTACAGCATAAAGGGTACCTGAATGGCTTGCATGGCCTGTACCTAAGGCAGACTTCTCCCATTAGGTTCTGCCCTCTTGATTAAAATTTTTATACTCCACCTATCTTTTGTAACTCAAGGTGGCTTTCAATTCCAAGATTACAAACATACAGAATACAATCAAGCCCCATTAACCTCCTTCTCAAAACAATGTCTGTAGCTTAAACCCCATTAAAAATGACAGCAAACAAAATAGTCTTACGGCATCACATGAAGACTTCTAAACATGGTGCCCCACATCTTAGAAGACAGCCCATCCCGCAAGATGGGAACCACTCTAGAGAAGGAATGGCCTCTGGCGGAAAATAAAGCAGACAGCCTTATATAAGGGAACAACCAGAAGACCATTCGTCCTAATCTGTAGCGCTGCCCTTGTGACTCTGCATCTGGACCAGACATACTCGCTCTCCCCACTTCCCTTTGCATATTGCAGGTCACAAATGATTCCCTTGAGTATTCCATGTGGCTAGCTGTAAAGAGCCTTGACCTGGACAGCCCAAGCTAATCTGATCTCATTAGATCTCATGAAGCTGGCCCTGGTTGTTATTTGGCTGGGAGACCACCAAGGAGGTCCAGGGTCCCTATAGAGAGGTAGGCGTTGGCAAGCCACTTCTAAACTACTCTTGCCTTGGAAACTCTACAGGGTCACTGTAAATCAACTGTGACTTGACAGCAAACAAAAGAAAAGGTGTAAAGATCTTTTCAAAAGCAATCCTTACAGTAACCATTTTTATCCAAACACTATGCACCAGTATGGAGCATTTGATAAAAGCAAACCATTACGTATCACATGCTTAAGGCATACACTTTTATAGCTGGTAAATGTATGTAAGTTGAAAACAAACATTACCATTCTCTCATGTTGCATTTAAGCACCATGCAAAAGCTATAGAGCAAAGTTATACAATATTGTACTAGTATGCCGGAAAATCTCTTAAAAAGGCCATTTATTCTTACATCGTAAGCCGAAGAAATTATGTATCTCGCAGATATGCTCACTGTCTGGGTCTGTAGCAATGAGCTCCATCTCTTTCCGAATGTTTTTATAATTGGAATTATTCTTTTGAACCACACCAATTACAAATATTTCTATGTCGCGGTTATGCGCAACCTTGACTACATCTTCCAACTTTTCATCACGAACATCCGCTTGCCCATCTGTTATGACGATGGCCACTTTTTTCACCTCCGGTCGGGCCTCCTGGAACATCCCAATGGTTTTATTGAGAGCGGTAGCTGTGTATGTGCCCTCTCCTAAATAATGCATTTTATCAACAGCGATATTCAGGCAGTCTTGGCTGGTGCATTGTGGCAAAGTGGATACCACATATCCCCTGTGGCTGAAGTTGATGATGCCGACACGCGCTGTCACTGGGTCAACTCGGACTTTGTCAATGGCTGCTTTTACAAAACGTTTGATGAGGTCAAAATTGGCGGGCCCCACACTTTCAGAGCTGTCAATCACAAATATAAGTTCCAAAGGACTGTCCCTGCAGTCAAACCCACAGCCTGAAATAAATGGTACACATTTTTATGATACGAGGTCTGTTAACATATATTCAATTGTTTGATTCTCAAGCTCCAGCATCTAAACCAACCCTTATAAGTGTATAATGTATTTCCCATCCCCATGTGCATGAGCAGTGTGTATACCAGTTTTCTGTAACATCTTGAAATGCTGCTACTCTAGGGTTCCCATAACCCTCAGGGGCAGCTTTTAGTGGGGGCTAAAAAGTAGAAAAGAGAACTCAAAAATGTGTACCCCTTTGAATCCCAGCCCCACCAAACATATCACACGCTACTTGGAATAATTGTTCCACATTAGGCATGGTTCCATGCATGTAATTTTAGTCTGCTTTTTCTGTGTCTAAAGTTCTCCAACAACACAAAGGGATGTGTGCAAAAGAGTACACCAGGTGTATTTCAGTAATGCATCTGTATTGACAGTGCCAACAAAAAGGCTCCATTGCCCATGTACAAGTGCACTGTCCAGACACCAAATACAAAACACAGGCATGTTATATCATTAACGCACGTGTCCTTTGTGTGGTGACGGGCAGAAGAAACAAAGCAAAAGAAGCCCCAAATGGCACACGCTAAGCCATCTGTATTTCTGTTTCTATTGTTCAAAAAACAGAACAAATCCTAGATTTTAGTTTCAGTTTGAGGCAATAATGGCTCAATGGTATGTGATATATGTCCCATTGTTAATTGTATATCAACAGTTTAGCTGTAGGCACTAACACACTAGCTAGAGAACATTTTGGATTCTTTTGGCAATGAACCTCAAGGTGTGACATGGAGTTTTCCTGGAATTATAAGTTCTCATGGAGGAAATGGTAGCTGTCAAGTACAGACTCTATGATATACCATAGAGTCTAGGAGGAACAAAAGTCCTAGGGTGATATCACATCTCTATTGAGTTTCCTCCTCTGCCCAAACTCTACCCTCTCCAGACACCACCTCTAAATCTCCAGGAATTTCCAAAGTTGGAGTTCCAGCCTCTCCTTACATAGCTCTTACCACATATTTCCATTATGAGTTTGATTATATCTTCTTTCTGAAACAGAAAGTATCCATTTGAGTTGGCTTTTCACATTTGTAAATGCAATATTAAAATCATAGTTTTCAAGTATGGACAATTAAGCATGCTAATTTGGGGGGGGATAGTTTGCTAAGTCTTTGCACTCTTGCTTTGAACAACACAAATAATTTAATGTTGTAGACATTTATTTAATATTATTACAGATAATAAGATTCTCATCTGATATGATGCTCAACAGAGTTTGTGAGAAATGTAGAACTTTTTACATTAAAAGCATTTGATAGTGTATTTGCTCTCAGGAAACATGACACAGACGGAGAGCTGAATCCCATGCACTGTTACACCGTCTAAGTCCATTGAGGTCATTGGCCTTAGAGGGGTGTGACTCTGCTTAGAATTGCTCTGTAAAAGATCCAGTAGTGTTATGGTCAGTAAGCCTCACATATCAGTTGTACATGGGCTACATGCAGCCCTCCAATCCCTTTTCTGTACCTCATGTGATGTCACTGTGCCATTCAAAGTAAGCAGGCTTGGTCAAAATGACTATGGGCCCACCTTCAACAAACAACAAGAAGTGCCTCAACCAAGTAGATACGACTGCCAGAAGAACACTAGATTCTAACTTCTTAAAAGAAATGCCGACAATACTTAAGATTATAGAAAGCTTCCCCCTACAAACCTCTATATACAGGTAGATAAAAATGAATATATCCTGAGAAACTGGAGACATAAAAAAAACCCCAACAGTCCAGCCATGTACAAAATTAGTTTTAATCTGGGCTGTAAAGATAAATGCAGTAAAACTGCTGCATGGCAGAAAAGTGTAACTGTGTTGATTTGGAACACCAGCAAGATGCTATAATTCCTTTTAGCTGACCTCTATCCTGCCTCATTCTTGCAGGTAGCATTTTTAAGCCTGAGCTGGCTCAGAGGTAAGAGCCAAAGGCTGAGAGGAAGATTTACGGGCACAGAACAAGTGTGACACAGCCCTGGTCTGCTCTGAGAAGCCATTCCCTCCCCCATCCTATTTGTTTCTTTACACTGGATTTTTGCATTGTGAGCTGCTTTGGGTCCCTGTGGGGGAGAGAAGTAGCATACAAATGCTTAAATAAACACATGAAAGCATTTTAGGCAAGGAGATGTATGACTCTTCTGTCCTATCGGCCCTGTGTCCCAGGCTGGCTTTATGAGGGTTTATTAGTCAAAGATTTAAAGAGGGTCTGCTGAACTCTGATGACATGGAGAAGAGGAGGAGGAGGAAAAACAGGAGAGTTTTTGAATTACTTATGCCACCTTGGTTGGTGTTAGCAACCTTCCCATAGGCCATACGAGGGAATGGGTAATAGAAGATGACTCACTGCCGATTTGACAGCAAAGTACAACTACCAAAGTAAAAGGAACGTGACATTTTGCAAAATACATGATTCATTTGTTTGTTCTTATCAAAGCAAACATGTGAACAGCAGGGTGGATCTGGGAAAGTCATGCTTAGTGTTATTTGCTTTCCTCTTCACAGCAGTTTGGCCACTGTGATAAATGATATTCTGAACACGGTTCTCCATTCCCAAACTCCTAAGCTGGGAGGGCTCCTTCATCCTGGTGACAGGAAAAGAAAACGTGAAGGTGGGACTTCCCAGTTCCCTTCACCCTGGAGCTCCATTCCCTGGGGCCTAGCTCATGCCCAGCAACGGGTGGTGTGGGGGGGCCGTGATGGGCTTACAAATCTTCCATGACCAATTGCAGCAGTGAGCCTGCAATTTTAGAAGCAGGTTAGAGTTTTCAAAAGTTTGAGAACCATTGCTACATGAGAACAACTGACATTGCTTTAAAACTTAACAGCACACATATGCTTTTTTTTCTAGAGGCTACAGGTTGGATCCTCTCAACTTTTCTGTCGGTGGAAGAGTGAGGAGGAGCCCCTTCTCTCACTAAAAAGGCTATACCATGGACTGTGAGACCCATGTGGACAAAAGCTGTGTGGAATGTGGGTTTCAATGTGGAGAGGAACAGAGCAGGTTCAAACACAAAGTGGAGAGGATTCAACCCTACCTTTTAATTATAATTAAATCACTGAGATGTACTTACAGTAAGACCAGGTTCACCTTTAGCTCCTGAAAACCCCTGAAAGGTTATAAAATGGGATCAGTTATTAGGTCTTATAGCATTAATTTTGTACAAATAATGTTTACAAAAAATTAGGCTGTACCCTTGGTCCTGCAGGTCCAAGATCACCAGTCTCTCCTTTGTCACCTCTCTTTCCTTGATCACCTTTATCTCCATATTCTCCCTAATTTTTAAAAGAAGCACACGCATGAAATAACAAGAAGACTTCCCTTGGTAAGGCAATTTCTCTTAAACTTTGTCTATATGAAGCAAGCTGATATAATCACATTCTACACATAACCTGATCAAAGCTTCCACACAACCAGATTTCGTGTAAAAAGATGTGTTTCGTACAAGTCCAGGGACCTTCTGAGGTTGCACTTCTCTTGTGAAACTGCAGATTATGTGATATTTTGTACTTTGGGGAAATACATTTCTTTCCTCAGATACCACAGCCTCAGAAGCTGCAAATGTTATATGGAATGTGGCTGTGCAAGTGCCACAGATATTTGTTGGATATCACATACCCTGTGTTCTATGTTAGTGGTATTTTATTCAGGTTATTGATAGTGCACCATTGGTTTATTGATGATGTGGGCTACTGTGACTACCTGGTAATTGGAAATGCAGTTGATGCTTTTTAATAAAAACAGTGATAATAATAAACATCCACAAATAACTGGATCGGTAGTATGACTGTTGAGAGCCATTTTTCTTCTTAAACAATTATACTAGAGCAGATAATAAAAAAACCAGCTGAAATCATATTTTAGTAGCTTTCATTATAATAAGGTAAATTGGGATACCGTTCATTATCTCTCTGAATACAGAGATGTTCATGCAGGGGCTATTATGCACAAGATTGTGACTCGACTGTTTTAACAGTGCCATCCTAAACTGAGGCTCACCAAACAGCTTATTACTGGGGGGGGGGGGGGGGTTTTAGGGTTTCCAAAAAAAATTTGGAACCAGAATT